GTGTCTTGTTACTAACGCTTCGATTAATAAATCCCAGTGTCCTATTTGCCTTATTACGAACATTCAGGCATTGATCATTTTGTTTTAAATTCTAACTAATCATATCTCCCAGATCCCTTTCGCAATCCGACTTCGCAATCTCAACACCATCAAGCTCGTATCTTGTAACTCTATCATCATTACCTAGCCTCAGAACTTTACATTTATCAGCATTAAACTGCAGACTCTGGTAAATTCAGGTAAAATATAAAAGTATATCTAACTCGTTTTCTTTGAAACGGTCTGAATAATTTGATTTCTGCAAATGAAATTTATCTGAGGGGTCACTGACATATATTGGTCTCGACGAAAGAAAGGATTAGTAGAAATTCTAAGAGAGAATCAAATAATTTCCGACTTTCATATTATTTCACCTGTCAGCTAATGATATTAGGTGTCATGCTTGTGCTTTAATTTTATTTAGTAGCCCCTCATATATAATATGGTATTAGTAGTAGAAGTAGTACATTGTACTACCTAAGCTTTTAATCAAAACAAAATGCATAAATTCACTACACAATTGGGTCATAAAAGTTTTTGTGTGTACGTCTGATAACATACTCCTTGTGAAGGAGGAAATGTATATGTTTACCTCTCAGAATGTTTGGCAATATGTTTATTTGTGATGTGTGTCTATGTATATATTAACACGTTGTACTGAATGGGGTGAGAATAGCTTGAGCTACCTCATCCCTTTGTGTGTATTTTACCTCAATAAACTTATTTCAATTTCAATTTCAACTACACAATTGAGGTTCTTATTTGCGTCTTATTTCATTGTAAAAGGAGTTAATTTCCAAATAGGGTTGTATAAATAAATCTTATCTTTGCATTCAATTTTGTACGGTAATTTTTCAAACTTAAAATGTAAATAGCTATATATATATACCCCCTCTAAATGAAAAATGGCCTAATTTAACATATGTGCTAAAAATATTAACATAAATAATTCGTTTGTTAGATAACAAGATATTCATAGCAATAAGGTTTCTTGGAATGGCCTATAATGCACGCAAATACTAGTTTACGCACTTTTCGGGTAGTACGCCTGGAATTTCAAAATGGCGTTCAAACGGCGGTCGTTGAAGGCTCAGCTGGTCAGTACCGTCGGTGCCGCCAACAGGCGACAACAACGCCTTCAAACCTTCAGCCATACAAATTTTGGTGAGGACCCATTTCTTGCATTGGAGTGATTCTCACGACCAAAGTAATTTGGATCAGGTGAAGCCTGTCAATAAGGATTACATAAGAGAAGGGTCAGTTTCTTGGCCTATTCCTAGACAAGAGACTCAACTTCAGCACCCACATACAGTACAACACATAACTAAGAAAGTCTCTAAAACAGTTGGTATACTCTACAAAATCAGATATTATATACCTAACTCTGCTCTCATCTCACTATATTATGCACTAATCTATATCTATCTTAATTATGGTATCTGTGCATGGGGTTCAACCACTGCAAACCACCTCAAATCCATCATCACTCAGCAAAAATCTGCTGTCAGAATAATAACAAACTCTGCTTTCAGACAACACTCAGCCCCCTTGTTTAAATCCCTCAACATGCTAAACAAACTCACTCCACACATTCTCTTGTGTCACTTATATTTACAAAACCCTTGTGTCACTTATATTTACAAAAGTAATAAAGGGGGAGAGATGACTTGGTCATCATCAAAGTAGTGACATTGCACGTCACCACTTTGACGTGGTAACTTGCCATTGCACGTAATTAAAGTTAAAGTAAAGTAAAAGTCCACAACTGTACTATGTTTTGTATGTTTTTTTTAATATACGATCAATTATTATTAGTCAATACCCTTAATAGATTTGTTAATGGATATATAGCACTGACAACTGTATAGATAATTATTTAGCTAATGACAGACAAGTACATCAAAGGAGCTTTTAATACAACAAGCAATTGCAATTTTAGTGAAACTTGCATGTATGGGATCTTGTATGAGATTACTCAGGATCTTGTGCCAACATCAGAAAAGGGCAACAGTAATCAAAGGATCTCTGTAGTACAGTTGGGTTCTTTCTCGACTCAGTCGGGAGTCCTGGGTTCGAATCTCGTGCAGGGTAGAAATGACTCGGCATGTTTCCTTTCATCTAATGCTTCTGTATACCTAACAGTAAACAGGTACTTGGGAGTTAGTTAACTGTTGTGAGTTGCATCCTGTGAAATGGTAGAATACTAGAATGGACAAAGCAAAGGTTAAATGGTCGTTCAAAATGGAAATGAATCTGACTGGAGAAATTTGATGAGTGGAGTACCGCAAGCTTCCATCTTGGGGCCAATCCATTTTTGTCATAAACATCAATGACATATATGGGAATATTGCAATCCACACCATCAAATTTGCACAAGACACTAAGATCTCCAGAAATCTGATAAATCTGATAAAGATCTCTGATAAAGTAAGAAGCGAAAATTATATCCAGACTTTACAGAGATGAACATGAACTTCTCAAATAGTCGGAAGACTGGCAAATGATTTTTGATATGGAAAATGCAGCACCTTACATGTGCTGCATTTTCCGTCTGGCCAGAAAATTTTCGGGGGGTTATGGGCCGCCTCCGTCTGGTCGCCCCCCAGGCATTTAGCATGGAACAAATTTGTGTCCAACACCTCTTCCTGTTACTCAATTTGGCTGTGTGTAACCAAACTAGAAGTGCTCTACAAATCAAGGGACCCAGAATGTGGAATGACCTCCCGAATCATGTCAAAGGCTGTACCTCTCTCAACCAGTTTAAGAGTTAAACCAAGTACTGCCAAATTAACTCCATGTAACCTAACTTGCCTCCTAAATGTCAACCCATGTCTTGCTATTTTTTAAACAACGCTGTTCACCAACATGTGCAATTGCTGATTTATGCTATGTTAACCCCCTTTTTGTATTTTTTATTCCTTCTTTCAACACAATTTATACCTAATCCCGATTACTATTAAGTTTTAGTCTGTGTTTTTTTCCCCCCACACCTTGCCCGAAATGCTATGAGTATTAGTGGCTTTAGGTATTGTATGTACTAGCTCTGCCTATAAATCCATCATTATGTTTGTAAATCAACTGTATGTACTTTTCCTGAATAAAATGTATTTATTATTTATTTTTTAATCGGCGAGTATTAAAAGAAGGCACCAAGCTGGGAAGGCTATGTAGCACCATTGTGTGTAACAATAAACCAAATTTTTTTTTAACAAATAATGCACCTGTATGGGAAAACAAATCCTGTCAGCTGTAAAAATATTGATGCAGTTATTTAAATGAAAAATATAATGAAAGAAATATTACTGGTTTATTTTTATCCTATCTTTTTGTACTGTACAGTATATCCAAGGAAGTGAAAAATTGAGACAATGCACAATTTAATGAATGATTAGCAGTTCAAAAGAAATATGACTTGTATTACATATCAACATGAGATCTTAATGATCCATGGTCAACATGATTTAATAAGGATAATACAGTACTGTATTTGTAATACAAACTATAATATAAAAAATCTTTATTACTGATTTTTTTTATTAAGATTAGGTATACACAGCAATGTGCTGCTACCCTAGTCTATATGGAATATTACAGTGTAGATAAAAAACTAGCTATAAATTTATCTAATACTCCCATCTCACAGGATGGTTAGACATACTGTACATGGAATCAATTTAGAAAATACCAGCCTCAATACAAAAAACAAATCAACTCTGACTAAACAACTCTAAGCAATTTTCACAAGAGGTAAGCACTGAATCATGGAAACATTATATTATAATTACTCTTACCAGTTTCTACAAAACTCCTCTCAAACAATGTATTTTTAAACATGTTTAAGTATACACAGCAATGTGCTGCTTCCCTATTCTGTATAAAGGACCACACAGTGTAGATCAAAAACCAGCTACAAGCTCACCCAACATCCTCACCTCACAGGATGGCCAGTCATACATGAAATTAGGAGAGAACAAAATACTTAATTCTGATCTATTAGCCTCCACTGGCAAAATCTGGGTGCAGCACAAGAATATCTTCCAATATTCCTGAGTGTATGAAGTAATTACAGAGCTCAAAATACCTCATACCATTTGGTATGAAGTCACTGATAACAGGACAATCACAGATATAGTATTGGAGAGTATGTTCTCTCAAGTAGGACTGAAAACAGATGTTTTTTTTCCACCAAGAGGACTATAAACCCATGGAACCGCCTACCCGCTGAAGCCGTAAATGCCAAATTCCAGCTAAAAAATATCATTAAGACAATTGGCGGGCCCTTTAACAAGCCGCCGGCTTTCTGTCCTCTTCGAGGTCACTAGATAGTTAGTGGCCATTGGGTAAATTCAGTAAATATATACAATAATTGTCAGCGCATCTTCCGAGCAACAAGGACAGCTACACAGTATCTCTTAGAATTACGTAGGTAAACAACAAATGTAACATATTTGTTTACTACAATGTCGGTGCTGGCTGTAGAAGTTGAAAAAACATTGTTTTACTTCGAAATATACTAATTTTATAAGAAAATTCGACGTAAATAGGAGGCAGTAGAGCTCCGATAAGCCAGCGCTAAAGCTTTAATATGAAGAATGTTGCTGCTCTCTGATTGGCCAAACGAAACACAGTAGTGACCTCTATCGGCACGCAGGTGAACCAACAATTTTCTTCCTAAGTATACCTTATTGAATCGCACCTAAGCATCTTCTTAGGGCGCACTTAGGAACCTTCGTAGCAAACCCACTTACGAAGAAATACACAGAGCTTCCTGAATCTAGGTCCTGGGACCTGATTCACGAAGCAGTTACGCAAGCACTTACGAACCTGTACATCTTTTCTCAATCTTTGGCGGCTTTGTTTACAATTATTAAAGTTAACGAGCTCCATAACATCAGGAGCCTGTTTATAACAATAACAACAGTTAATTGCGAAGTTTTCATGCTATTAAATTGTTTAATAAATGTAACAGAAGCCCTCAAAGATTGAGGAAAGATGTACACGTTCGTAAGTATTTGCGTGAAGGGGTGAGCGAGGACCGTCAGTACCGCCGCCGGCCGCTACACCAGCTGAAGGGTCGCCGGGATAAGACAGCTTTTTAGCCTTTACTACTCACCAAGTCCACCGCCGCTGCTTGTGAGGAAGCTCCAAGATCACAGCACATTGTTCTGCAAGCTTCTGGCTAGTCTTGTGTGTGTTGTCTGAACTTTAGTTGTAAATTAGTGTGACAAGTCACTGGTAATTTGTACTACCAATACTGTAGTCGGGTCCGTAAAATAATTTTTATTCACCCAAAGCAACTTTGAATTACGGAAATAAAGCCGTAATGTTGTTATGAAGCTGGTAATGAATGTAAAACGGAAAGTTATTTTGTTAACATAATTTCTTCTTTAATGTGAAAAAAAGACAATTATTGGCTTTGTAACAATTTTATTTACCAAGAATAGTGTGACACTAATTTTCTAATACAGTAGAACCATTTTTTTTTGTTATTAATTAACAAGCTTAGGAACAGAGCAGTGTGCTTCAACCCTATTCTATATTAGGGGCTTACCGAGTACTGTATAGGTTAAGAGTTATTTATTTATTTATTTATTTATTTATTTATTTATTTATTTACATATATACAAGAAGGTACATTGGGATTGTGAGGATACATAGCATAGTAATTACATTCTTGTAAAGTCACTAGTACGCGCAGCGTTTTGGCAGGTCCTTAATCTAAGAAACTTATAAGTAGATAAATACTTGCAAAATTTTTAAAAATGATAACTACATTAGTTACATTATTAGTTTGATAACTATAGTTACAACTATATTGACATCCTCTACTCAAATTTACCTTACTTAACCTTACCTTACCTACCCCGTACCCTTACCTTACCCACCTTAAAGGTGGGACCTGACAGCTGAGTGGACAGTACTTCGGATTCGTAGTCTTAAGGTTCCGGGTTTGATCCCCTGGTGGAGGCGGAAACAAATGGGCAGTTTCTTTTATCCTGGTGTCCCTGTTCACCTAGCAGTAATGCTAGGTGAACCTACGCTAAGTCCTGAAATCGCCTCAAGATAACCTGTACCTTACCCCCATTTGTACCTGTATCCACCCGTACCCTTACCTTACCCACCCGTACCCTTACCTTACCCCCCTTTACCCTTACCCTACCCACCTGTACCCTTACCCTACCCACCTGTACCCTTACCCACCTGTACCCTTACCCACCTGTACTCTTACCCTTGCCTTACCCACCCGTACCTATACCTTACCCACCTTTACCTATCTGTACCCTTACCTTACTCTAGGGCTACTATCTCATTGGTGGCTTTGACAAGGACGGGAAGGCGGCAACCTGGCAAAGGTCCCCTCATTTGTTATGATTTTATCAAGCTGGATTTTGAAATAAAACTTAGCTTTGGTGGGCCAAATTATTTATTGTATTCATTTATTTTCTTGAACTTTCTTTCTTTGTTCTCTTTCAGTATGAAGTGTTTACCCAGTCATGCCATTAAATCATTTTTTTTTCTTCTAGAATGTTTTAAGTTTTGCCCAAAATGCTTTTCATAACAGTGGCTTCATTAGTATGTGTAACTCCTTTCCCCACAATTGTACATTACTCCTGTGTTCTTTGTACACGTTTCTTTTTATTAAAAATTTGAATATTATATATATTATATACATAGGTCTATGACAGGTAAGAAACAAGCTGTTTCAATTCTTCCTCCGTGGTGTGACAATGTCACATTTTTCATCACGTGTTAATTTTCATGATTTACACACACATTATATTATGTGTGTGTATATATAATCATAAATTATATGTTAGGTTAAATTTAGTACCATCCCATTAAATGTGCTTACAAGGAATATGAACATTTAGGTTTAGTTGGTGCCTTCTGTTAAGCCATCCACAAAATAAATACCAGCAATATAAAACTTTAGCTTTTTTTTTTTTTGTCTCATTTTTACATTTGACCAATAATTGTTATAAGTACTATCATTTTTGGATGACGGTTTGCATACACAGTCATTATTAATAAATAAATAAATAAATGTTTATTTAGGTAAGGTACATACATACAAGAGATTTTACAAAGTTTGTTGGATTAATAGATAGAGCTAGTACATACAATGCCTAAAGCCACTATTACGCAAAGCGTTTCGGGCAGGAGATTGTTTATTGGCAATAAACAATGCATTCAGATAGCAGCATCACAATCGGCTAATTTTAAACCACTACGCAAAATTAAAATACAACTAAACAGTACCAGTACTAGCCCATTCTGATAATTTGAAACTCAAAAAATGTAGATGCTTTGCCTAATGGGGAAAGGTTTGAACCTAAGCAACTTGCCTAGCCTGTCGAGGTCAGTGCTCATAAAATGACTGCACAGTACTGTATTATGGTGCTTTAATTTGTTTAAAACCCAGCAGTTTTGACAGATTGGTCCATTCCATTAAATATGTATTGTATTAAGCAAGAGGACATGTTGGTCAAACACCCTGCTAGAGTGTCCAGTAATATGAGATTTTTATTGTTAAGTGGATCCCAGTAAACTTGTCACTGGACATTATAGTACATGGTGCCAGTGACTGGACCCCTGGAAATGCTGGTGTTCAGACAACCGTGGGGCCTAACATCTAAGAACCAGATAGGCTATGTTATTCTTGTAGTTTTGTCTAATAGTATTATAAACAATCCAATCCTCTAATAGTATAAAACAATCCTTGTAAATATTTATTGTATGTATGTACCTTACCTAAATAAAAATTGTATTGTATTGTATAAGGATAAGTATCATATAATGCAAGCCATAACATACTACTGTATATAGTATATATAGTATAGTGGCAAAATCTTTGTACATGGATAGTTTGGCTTGCCATTTGGATATTTGCACTATGGTGGTTGACCATTTGGCATACATGGGAATTTTGAATGCTACTATTTTTATTATAATAACTAATGTAGATGTTGCTTTTACAGTATCCATTCTAGTGTTTTTTTTTAACTATATTTCCTATTGATTCATATCATAAGTATTCCAATAAATTTAATAAAACTACTGTACTATATACTGTAGTCCATCATATATTAACTTTCTAAAGTGCCTGGTAACCAGGGAATTACTCTTAACAAGTTTAGATTTGGAGGAAAACATTAAGCTTTTGAAGGTATAAATTAGGATAATATTTGGACATAATTACAGATAATGTTTAATGTTGAGATAGATATTACATTTTAAAATATATACTGTACTGGCAATATTTCTAACATATATTTATTCTACAGTACAGGAATGTTCTTGAAGAAAAGTTGCAATATTCTTTATCGACATGAAGTTAACTCTCTGATTCACTGGAGGAATTGTAGCTCACTAATAATCAAAGCACGAGAAAAACTTGCATCCCTTGGGGAAGGACAAGTTTCTCTGGTAAAGGATAATGGATCTGGGATTGCAACTATCACATTGGCACATGAACAGAAAAAGAATGCTCTTTCAGGTATAGCGTTTTCTTTATAAAGTATAGTCATTGTCATAAAATCTTAAGATATGGTATAATAATTCTTTTCTGGGAAGGTTCCAATGGTGGATCCTTAGTGCTAGCTACTTGGATAGCTCCACCCACTTCAATCCACACCAGGCCCTTGGGAGTTACTGTACTGGGAACTAGAAGCCAAAACCTGGCCAAAGAGTTATATGAAGCATGGGATACTAAATCACCCTAACCAAGAAAAGGCCACCAGAAAGGTGAGCGAGCTAAAATGTACAATTAGCAAGGTAAACAAAGCATAGAAAAATGACAACGAATCTCAAAATGAATGAACCATCTAGTCATGAAATGGTTTTCCTTGTTAAATTGTCCTGTGTGCCACCAAAGGATTACACATTTTCCTCCTCATTTTGCCTGATGAGATCGCCTGTGATGTGGATATGCTACTCTTTCCCACTGCAGCCCTAATAATTTCTCGATGGGTTTATTTTCAATGATATTTCATTGGCTCTTACTTTGTTCTAACTGGTTGATGGGTTAGGGAGCTTTGTTCTTCTCTGGGAGTGTTGGGGGGGGGGGTTGTTGTTTTGGTCATGGGGTCGTTTTCTTTGCTTACAGCCTTCTCCTTCCTTTCTGGCTACAGATGAGGTGGCTGGGTTCCAGAGGTGGTTTTTTGATGATTGATGCTTTGCTGGTTTGCCTTGGGTGCATCATTTGTTGTCTAGTTGTAGCCATTTGCCTTTCTTAACACTAGTGGTCCACATGGGATGCTCTGTTGTATATCCGATGTTCCTGAGCCCCATGATGATCACAAGTTTGTGGGTCTATGTTTTTCAGATATGTCTTGTGCAGATATTTTGGCTCAAGCAATTTGGCAGTTCAACAGAATGTAAAGTAAACTAATGTTTACTAAGTAAACTTGGTAAACATTCTTGGTCCATACTGGGGTTGTGTGACTTTGGGACAGTTAACTCGACGCTAACTCTCCCTTTCACGGGGGTTACTTTGTGACTTCTGCCCCCTTGATGAAGACTCCTTTGGTGTTATTCTGTAGTTACCATTGGAGCCCTCCCTGAAAACTAGCATTGAATGTAATGAAATACCTCTTTCTGGTGGGTCCTTAGTGGTTTCTTGGGATTCTCCCTTCCTTATTCAGGGATTTCAGTTTTTCATCTTCCTGGCTAAACGACTGATATCTCAAAGCGAAGGGATTAATGAGTGTGCAGAGTCCTCTGGTGGTGTGCACAGGTGGAACTAACAAGAGAACTGCTATAAGATTGTGGGGTTCTCATTTTCTGTGCCTTTTCATGCTTTGACTCACCCATCTTCCTGTTGGTCTTTTTGTGGCTAGGGTGATCTAGTATTCTCCTGCTCCTTGTCCATCTTTAGGTGGGAGTCAGGTGTTGGTCTCTGGATCCTGGCAGGCTTACAATGACTTGCAAGAGCCTGGTGTGGATTGAATTGGGTGGAGCTTGCCAGGTAGCTAGCACCAATGAGCCTCCAAGGACCCCCAGAAACAGGTATTTAATTACATTTATCATGTTTGTAAATGCACATAAAAATACTATTCAAGGATAGTAAACAGTTTTATACACATTGTATTGTACATTATAATAAATGTTTAATAAAAATTTTCCTATTAGGTATTACAGTAATGACATTATTTTCTTATATTCAAAGAACTTGCATACTGTGTTTCAAATTAGCTGTAGTACATCATGCAATAATATGGTAAGCAAACTGGGATATTGGAAAATATATTATTGGCGTGAATGGGATTGAACTCTCATCTCTGGACTCCCCCAGACACGTGCACTACCCACTGTACCATGATGGGCAAAAGTATTTCGACTAGAAGGTCTACAAAACGTACTTAGAGTGTGGTTGACACCATAAATACAGTATATCATGATATTGTAATCTCATTGTCAATAAGGACAGTGCCATGATATGCAGAGAGTTTGAGAGCACTACAAACAGTTTAATTTTATTTATTAAATTGGCTAATAAACTTCAGTATCAGTAAAGAGTACTATGGTGGGTATCACATTGGCTTTTGGTCTCTTCATTGGTCTTGATGGGGCCTTGGTTCTTTGTTTCCAAGTTTGTTCAGTTTCATCTCGGTCCTCTGTTTTCTTTGGCTTTGTTCTAAATGGCTTGGTGCTTTCTCCTGATAATTCCTTCCTTCCTTCCTTCCTTCCTTCCTTTGTTCAGTTAGTCCTTCTGGTGGGTGTTTTGGGGGCTCCTTGGTCCCTTAGTTGGTCCTTAGCACCTGGTTTTTATAGGAGCCCTTCAATGGCTCCCTGAAGCTAGATCACCAAGATAGCGTTTGACTACAATACTGAGTTGTATCAGTCATAGGAGTCCTCTTGACCTATTGGGGGACCAGAGTTAGAACCTGGCCTCCTCACACAGGCACAGAGCTGTGCCTCTGAGAAATTATCCAGATAGTAGGCAAAGACAGACAGAGTACAGAAAACTGCATGGTTCGCATAAGCAATTCATCAAAACAGCCGACAAACTCCTCAAATGATTCAGTTAGATAGAAATTTTTCACTTAGAGCATAGCTTAAGCTCCCCCCGCCCCAACAAAGAGTTGCCACCAGGTGGCGTCCCAGGGGTCACGCTTCCGAGCCGGGAATAAGTCAGTCCTGTTGCTGATATCAGACCCGTCTGACCTTCCTGGGACACCTTCTTAGCAAGTCCCTACTTGTTTACGAATACAAGTGTCAAGCAATCTTTGGACTCATGTCCAAAGATTGTCCAACACAAAGGTCTTGTGTTGGCCTTTTACTTGTCATTCCTAGTCTCTACTGTTTGCTTCACAAGTGTATTCTTGTGAGGACTTGGCATAATCTGCAATTGATACTCTGGTGTGTGTGTGTGTGTGTGTAATTACCTAAGTGTAATTACCTAAGTGTAGTTACAGGATGAGAGCTACGCTCGTGGTGTCCCGTCTTCCCAGCACTCTGTCATATAACGCTTTGAAACTACTGACGGTCTTGGCCTCCACCACCTTCTCACTTAACTTGTTCCAACCGTCTACCACTCTATTTGCGAAGGTGAATTTTCTTATATTTCTTCGGCATCTGTGTTTAGCTAGTTTAAATCTATGACCTCTTGTTCTTGAAATTCCAGGTCTCAGGAAGTCTTCCCTGTCGATTTTATCAATTCCTGTTACTATTTTGTATGTAGTGATCATATCACCTCTTTTTCTTCTGTCTTCTAGTTTTGGCATATTTAATGCTTCTAACCTCTCCTCGTAGCTCTTGCCCTTCAGTTCTGGGAGCCACTTAGTAGCATGTCTTTGCACCTTTTCCAGTTTGTTGATGTGCTTCTTAAGATATGGGCACCACACAACAGCTGCATATTCTAGCTTTGGCCTAACAAAAGTCATGAACAATTTCTTTAGTATATCGCCATCCATGTATTTAAATGCAATTCTGAAGTTAGAAAGCATAGCATAGGCTCCTTGCACAATATTCTTTATGTGGTCCTCAGGTGATAGTTTTCTATCTAGAACCACTCCTAGATCTCTTTCTTTATCAGAATTCTTTAAAGATTTCTCACATAATATATAGGTTGTGTGGGGTCTATGTTCTCCTATTCCACATTCCATAACATGACATTTATTAACATTAAATTCCATTTGCCAAGTGGTGCTCCATATACTTATTTTGTCCAGGTCTTCTTGAAGGGCATGACAGTCATCTAAATTTCTTATCCTTCCTATTATCTTAGCATCATCAGCAAACATGTTCATATAATTCTGTATACCAACTGGTAGATCATTTATGTACACAATAAACATCACTGGTGCAAGAACTGAACCCTGTGGTACTCCACTTGTGACATTTCTCCATTCCGATACATTGCCTCTGATTACTGCCCTCATTTTTCTATCAGTCAGAAAATTTTTCATCCATGATAGAAGCTTACCTGTCACCCCTCCAATATTTTCCAGTTTCCAGAACAACCTCTTATGTGGAACTCTGTCGAAAGCCTTTTTTAGGTCCAGATAGATGCAGTCAACCCAACCATCTCTTTCCTGTAATATCTCTGTGGCTCGATCATAGAAACTGAGTAAATTCGATACACAGGATCTTCCAGATCGAAAACCATACTGTCTGTCTGATATTATATCATTTCTCTCTAGGTGTTCTACCCATTTAGTTTTGATTAGTTTTTCCAATACTTTCACTATTACACTTGTCAATGATACAGGTCTATAATTGAGGGGGTCTTCCCTGCTGCCACTTTTGTAGATTGGAACTATGTTAGCCTGTTTCCACCCGTCTGCTACGATTCCTGTACACAGGGATGCCTGAAAGATCAGGTGAAGTGGAATGCTGAGCTCAGATGCACATTCTCTCAGAACCCATGGTGAAACGCCATCTGGGCCAGCTGCTTTGTTCTTACCGAGCTCCTTGAGCATTTTTTCCACTTCGTCTCTAGACACCTCTATGTGTTCTATGTTGTTCTCTGGAATTCTTATTGTATCTGGTTCCCTAAAGATTTCATTTTGTACAAACACACTTTGGAACTTTTCGTTTAGTGTTTCACACATTTCCTTTTCATCTTCCGTGAATCTATTTCCCATTTTCAACCTCTGAATATTATCCTTTACCTGCAATTTGTTGTTTATGAATTTATAGAATAGACCTGGTTCTGTTTTACATTTGTCCGCAATCCCTTTTTCAAAATTTCTTTCTGCCTCTCTCCTCACTGCCGTGTAGTTGTTTCTCGCATCTTTGTATCGCTGGTATGTTTGGGGGTTCGGCCTCTTCCTGTATTGATTCCATTTTTGTGTCTTTCGGTCTCTAGCCCTCTCGCAATTTTTATTGAACCAATCCTGTTTCCTAGTTCTGCATCTCTGTTTTGGTATAAATTTTTTTGTGCCTTTATCATATATTTCACAAAACTTGCCATACATCTCATTCACTTCCTTGCCTAGCATCAAGTCTGTCCAATTATACTCACTAAAAAAATTTCTAAGGTCACCATAATGTCCTCTCCTGAAGTCTGGTTTTTTAACTGCTTCAGCCTCCTTATTTTCTTCCAGCTTATAACGCATTGCATACTTTATTCCCAAAAAGACATGGTCACTTTTACCCAAGGGAGGAAGGTACTGAATGTCAAATATCTCTTCCTCCTTCCTGGTAAATATCAAATCTAGCATGGAGGGAACGTCCCCTTCCCTCATCCTCGTAGCTTGTTTAACATGTTGATACAAGAATGTTTCCAGGATGAGGTCTACAAATTTACAGGTCCAAAAATCTTCTGTTTTAGCTTCATATGCTTCCCAGTCTATGGATTTCAAGTTGAAGTCACCGACTATCAACAGTCGTGATCTATCGTTATCCGCTCTCGCTATAATCTCTCTCATTATTGTTATAAGACCTTCACGTTTACTATCTAGCTCCTCCTTTGACCATGTGCTGCTTGGCGGTGGACTATATGCATTTAACATCATTAGTTTATCATCCTCATAGCAGATCTCTAGTGCTATTATGTCAACTTCTTGTGGATTGGCAGTCATTATTTCCTTCACCTTTAGGTGTTCTTTTACCAGCACAGCAACGCCACCGCCTTTCCTAATTTTTCTGTCCCGTCTCCAAATTGAGTAGCCCCTTGGGAATATGACCTCATTTAAAATTACATCTTCAAGTTTTGTCTCCGTGAGTGCAACAATGTCTGGTGTCTGCAGCTGTATTACATCACTTAACTCCAGTATCTTCGATCTCACTCCATCTATGTTGGTGTATGCAATCTTCAGGAACTTGTTCCCCCTCTCCTTATTCTTCACTCCCCCTCTCTCTATTGATTTTGTTGGTTTGCCTTTATGTACCACTTTACTGGTTTGCCTACCCCTATCACTTTGTAGAAAAAAGAATTTATTTCTTCTTCATTCCTGCTCTCATTTAAATGTTTTGCCTCGGCGAGGTTCAGTTTCAGCTTCTCTCTATCTTCTTTTGAAAGATCTCGTCTTAACGACCACCCTTTCCCATCCTCATCCCTTTGCAATTTTCTAGCATTCCTTAGTACTTCTTCCATCTGTTTGGCACCGTTTAGGGTGATCCTCAAAGGTCGATCTTTCCCTTTTACGTACCTGCCTATTCTCCTGTAGTCGCACACATTCTCTCTGTTTGTAAGACCTTCCACGAGGCCAACAATTTTATCTACTACTTTAGCTTCTTCTACAGCTCTTTCTGACCTAGATGTTATCGCCTTTTCTTTGCAGCCAAAAATGATCAGGGACTTACTCCGATCAACTGTGTTTTGCACCAACTTCGGGTTAGATGCCAATTCTTTCCTCACTTCTAGCCTAATGTTTGTTTTATCTTGGTTGCTGCAGTGTTTGACTTCCTTTACTGCTTCTTCTATTTTTTCCTTCTCCTTGGCCACTTGTGCATAAGTGAGTTGCATATCTTTCTTGCACTGTTCTATTCCCTGTGTAACTTCCTCCATCTGTGCTGACAAAAGCTGTTTCTCCTGTTGAATTTCCTTGCCTAACCTATTGTAGTCATTTATGTTTAAATTAACTTTAACTTCTTCCAAAGCTATTTTTAAGAGTTTATTTTCTTCTTCCATGGCTTTGCAATTTGTTTCCAATTGATTCTTATCCTTGCACAAGTCTTTCACTAAACCCTCAAGACATAAAACTTTGCTATTCAAATGGTCATTACTTTCTTAGTGTGTGTGTGTGTGTGTGTGTGTGTGTCTTGAGGCTTCTGGGATACAGTACTAGTGAATAAGCTGTGGGGAATCACTGAGGAGGGCCCAGAAAGTGATGTTTCATTATACTCAACACTATTAATATATAACCTTTAAAGCTGTAATAATAATACTGTACTGTTAATTAGTGAATGTCTTGCATATGTTACAGCCAGAATTTGTATGAACATGTCTTTAGATGCCTGCTAGAAATAGAAAGTTTATTTACAAAAAACTTTTTGGTAGGTGTAACTTTTAAAGTTCAAAATCAGACTTTTGTACATTTCTTTCATTAATATAAAGATTATTAAATTTATCTGAATTTTATATCCACTAGAAAATTAAATAGGTTGTCATCCTTGACAGGTAAAATGATGGTGCAGTTAGCTGACATTGTTGAGGAATTAGACTCCTGGTCCTTGGGAAAGGGTGTGATCCTGCAGGCTCAAGGAGATACATTTTGCTCTGGTGGAGATTTGACTACTGTGAGAGCTATAAGCAATCCTGAGGATGGATTATTAATGTCAACTTTCATGCACAAAACTCTCACACAACTCTATTGCTTACCGCTTATCACAGTTTGCCTTGTACATGGCAAAGCATTAGGTGGAGGAGCCGAGCTGACAACTGTTACTGATTATCGAATATTGACCACTGAAGGGAAAATTGGTTTTGTCCAGGGTCGAATGGGAGTTGTTACTGGTTGGGGTGGTGGAACAAGGTTGGTTAAACTTCTAGGCTCTCGTTTTGCACTTGAACTTCTTAGCACATGTCGAATGCTTAATGGAAACGAAGCATTTGAAATAGGATTGGCAGATCATATTGTTGATGTAGTAAATAGACACGATGAAACAAAAAACTGGCTAACTGCCAGAATATCCCATGAACCAGAGGTAATTCAAGCCATGAAGAAAATACTTATTGGTGCTCGAGACTTATCCCTTGAAGATGGGCTTCTGAATGAAAGACTGAATTTTGCTCCATTATGGGGAGGACCAGCCAATATGAGAGCATTGGATAAAAATATTAAACATAAATGAATTTTATTAAATATATTTTTTTACTCATCTTTATCAGAATTTTTTTTTTTTAAATGTATGAAAAATAATAATATACATTAGAGTATAGTTGATAAATACTGTGTGTACATCCATGTGCCAGACTTTGCCATAATGTTGATAGAATGGGTTGAAAGTGTGAGTGCAATTTGAATTTGTACTCATTGGTGAAATGAAATCCTATGTTTGTTGGGTATATATCTTAGTTTTGTAAATATGAAGTAAATTGTAGATTTATCAACTTCAATATGAAATAGTGTCACCTAGATAAATGTGGGTAATTACTTCAGTAATTACCCAAGTGTAGTTACAGGATGAGAGCTGCAGTTGTGTTGTCCCGTCTTCCCAGCACTGTCATATAACGCTTTGAAATTACTGACGGTTTTGGCCTCCACTATTATGAATGTGTGTGTGTGTGTGTGTATGTACATATGTATGTTTATTTGTAAAGGTACTTGGGCAGCAGGTATACAAATAAATAGGGTATTTGGTTAAATATAACCTCCCAGGAATTATGATTAAAGGATCTACTTAGCTAAAATGCAGTGCTTAACTTTACCCATGAACTAGGCATCACAAATTGCATTCCCTTACCTCGATGTCTGTCAGAACCAGACAACGTCTTCACCACAGGAGTTTATACCAAACCTACCAACATTGGAATGTGCAACTCAAAAAGAGATGGACCACTTGGAGAGCATTTAACAGACCCCAGATGAGAGATGGTTTTCACAATCATAGCCAGGGAAGATGACCCTTAAAGCTGAAGCAAGTTCAGACACATTAATTGGACACCATGTGGTGAAGCAAACATCAAAATATGGAATTCCCTCTGCACAGAGGCAAAGTCTCAAGGATAACTAGTCAGAACTTTATTGAAGACCTTGTCTTTAGAGAGCTGCAGTATTGCAGGAAGGGCATAATGAGTTGTGAGCTTTTAGAGTTCAGAACTATTTGAGTGGGAGGTGGGGTGCAAAGCTATTCAAGGCCTATCATATAAGTAGGAATCTAAGAGCTTCAAGCATGGAGGTACAGGTATAGGAAAGCTACTACCTAGAACACCATTATCCTGTCAGGCTCGGTTGACCTTTGCCGCTAGATGACAAGTAAATTTGCAAGTAGTCTTGTTTCCTGACTTGAAGAAAGGAGACTGGGTAGATCAAATTCAATCCACAACCAAAAAGGACCACTCGCTAAGATACCAATGGGCAGCAACACAAATTTAACAAAAACAAGCCCCCTCTTTCAAGAAAAATGGGAAAAACAGTTAATTAAATTTCTGCAAACTACCATATGATTGGATAGTTTGATCTTAGTGATGCCACTTGGTGGTGGCTGTGAGTTGTTTGGCTAGTAACAGTAATTCACAGGTCTCTAAATTGCATAAGTTTGCATTTTCTAATTGGTACTTATTAAAGATATCGATGGTGCATTAAGCCTCTTGCCTGTATTGGTGAGTATATCCCTCAGTGGTGGCTTGAGTTAAACTTTTCATTGTTTTCCTTAACTTTAAATCATCTGACAAGACCATTTGCAGAGTCTAGCATAGTAATATAGTCTTGGTGGACTACAGTGACTGGCTCGAAGCATCTAAAGGACTGGCTTAGTTTCCATTTGTTTAATACCCTATTTTATATTTCTTTTATCATTGCCAATTGAAGAAAATAGGATTTTTGTAATTTGTTCATTTGAGCTTCAGGCAGAGGTAACTTCTTATATATAAAACAATATATAATGGACACAGCCTAAAAATATGGCATAGATCCAAATGGTTATTGGGGTTGAAGTGTGTCACGCAAGTAATGAAATTGAAACAGAAAGCTTTTCTTTCTCTCGTTCTTCTTTACTTTAAATATCGGTGGATATTTAGCATGCTGAAATATATGTATTTAAATTTGACTAGACTTTATTAATTAATAAGTTGGTAACAAGAATAATAACTTGGTACATAAATGGTTAGAAAGTAATTTTTAGATTATAATTAAAATGTACAAAAAATTAATACAGTACTTAAAAAAATACTTTTAAAAATGAGTTGCTATAAATTAAAAAAAAATGGAACTTAGGACTGCTGTTTGTTACCCTGATTACCATTATAATTGTTTTTTCTGTTGAGCTTCCAGTAATTCTAAGTTTAAGTGCTGGTATTGCCAAGCCATAACTAATTGCACTAGATCCCTCTGAAACCTATATATAGTACTTTCTGGTGAGTTATTCCTTTTGAGTTGATGTCTGATCCCCAAGCTTCCCTAGCGCATAGAGTAAATCAAATTCTAGCCCTGGCTTTCAATAGGCAAGGGTGGGAAATTGTTTTCCAGGACATTACAGTAATGATGACTAGAAATATCAATGATATCAATTGTGTAAATACAAAAAGTGAAATAAATAGCTGATATGATGATGAAAACTTATGTGCAGTATGTACTTTAAATGCCTAAAAGTGTCCTTGCCTGTTTTTCATTATTATTTTGTTTACTGTTCACAGGGTCAGCTTACCTGTGAACAGTAAATTTGTCTAGCTTCTGTGAACAAATTCTGTTAAAACTGTCAACAGTTTGCTTAGCTTCACAGGGTCAGTAGAGCTCACAACTGGATGGGAACCGCTTTGGCATAAAAAGATTAAAAGTAAATTATATGACTTCCACAAGTCTTGCATTTACTTTATGAAAAAGTTTGATGTGAGTTACCAAGAGCTGCATATATTTCAGTATTGCTATTTGCCAACTTTTATAACAGGAAGTTAATTATAATGCATATATTTTACATGTTTCACTATATATGCATTCTAGGATATACTGTAGATAAACATTCAAATTTATTTTACCTCCCTAATCGACACATAAAATAGAAAGTCTACATTATAGTCTCGTAAAAAGAAGAGTACGTTATATTTGCATATGTATGTGTACTGTATATATATGTGTGCGCCTTTTTAAGGCATACAACATATCTTATTAGGCACAACATGGTGGTTTATTCTTACATTGGTTAATGAACTGACAGCATATGAATGCAGAAATAAGTACATTGGGAAAATATGTAATATTTTTAAAAGTTCATTGTGATTATTAAGCCCTTCATTTTCACAGCTTTTCATATTTAAGCAGTGCTATGAGGCATGTTTCCAGACACAAGTTCTAATTCTTGAACAAATATACGTCATTACACTAGTCACAATACATATTTGTTTTAACAACCTGTAAATACTTAAAGGAAATTGTTCTTGCCTAAACAACATTTGGAAAATTCTTGGTGTTACTGTATCCTATTCTCTGTATGATATTAGCCCTTTATCTTGCTTGTATGAGTAGCTTCTCGTGCAATGTACACATGTAAAACTAGTCACTTTACATTCTCAGTATAGAATACAGACTATACACTGCAAGAAAGTCCAAACAAGCATCAATTCTACATGATTTGCAGGGGCTGATGATGGCAAGAATGGATAAAAAAAGTTATATGGCAACTTAGCATCCAGAGCTGGAGGTTTGGAATAAGCAGGTTGAGGTGGCAGAGTTACTTCCACAAATGACACTGATGATATCAGTTCTACAACTTGGATACTGTTCTTCATCTGTGCATTTTGACAAACTAGACTTGCACAACTAAAATCAATACTTTGTGGCTCTCCATAGTGTAGGACAATGCCAACAACCTTGGCCTGAGGATTAGCCAAGGCTCCTTGAAGACTGTAGGCAATCTCAATGTGTAAAGACAGGATGATGTCGGAACATTTCCTCTTGCCAAATACATGACCTGTAAAACATATGCCCCAGAAAATTATACGATTCATGAGCATTTCACATTTGCTGCGAGAGCAAAAGCTAATATACATCATCAAACATTACAAACTTGTGATGTTTGATCTCTGACCATTAAGTGGCTGGGCACCATTTCTTTCCTTTGTCCTATCCCAAATCCTTATTCTCATGTCCTTTCCATGAGGTATATAGTGGTAATTTCTTAGCACACTCCCTGATTTCTTACCACTGGAATAATTATGATAATGCTGTACTTATAAAACAAAATTCTAAGCACACAGCAACAAAATTAAATACAGCAGAAATGAAGTGCTCGGCACTAAACACCAAGATGGTAAGTACAGTACTTACTTGAAAATGGTCCTGATCTAGGTTCTTCTGGTATTAAGATTGGTATCCAGTCAGCAGCATTGTTGATACTAGAATCTCCGAAGGTTCCAATACGCAATTTGCTTGGATCCCGTAGAATGGGCCCAAGGAGAAGATCAATGAAATAATTCTGCAACACTTTACAGCGCTTTAGGTCGTCTTGTTTCACTTGAACAATACAGCCTGTCCTCATTTCTATGCCAAAGGTAACCTGAGAACGTGAATTGCACTTTCCTTCTTTTCCTGGGGCCAATACAGTCAGCCATTGCCTTGGGTTCGTGTCAAGGTAGATGGCTTCTTTCATTTCACCTATTTAAGTATAGGAAATTCTGTACAAAGACAAGCTTGGAAAAAATGTCTACATAATTTGCATCATACATGTAAAACCCAGACAATAATAGTTTAAATCATGATGATGATAACCGCATTACCCCATTAATAAATATATGACAATAACTGCTGTCTAAGGGTTAAGGATCAACTGAGTGTATAATCAGAAAAGTGCTTTTCATATTCATTCAGAGCTAAATGTTTTTTTAGATTTAAACAAAAAAACTGACACTTACCTTCTTCAGTGACATTATCAACTAGCTTTCCAAGAAGAATAGGTTTTCCAATAATATAACCAGGATGACCACTTCTTTTAAATGCTGTCTCATCCTTTACCGATGCCCAAATGTATTTAACATGAAAGCTTTGTTTATAGTATGTCATTGTATTGGCAACATTAGTGAGATAGACTTTGGCTTGCACTTGAAAAATCCCTTCAGTACCATTATGTAAAAATATGTAATGAATGCTCAGAGCTACATTTTCACATACACCAACAGTATAAACAGGCTGAGGCATATCATTAACATCTGTCTCTGTACAATTCTCTTCATTATTATCAAGGAAGCACAAAAATACCTTGATTGGCAATAACTGGTCCTCGGACAAATAATTTGAATCTTGTGAGGGTTCCAAAGTCATAATACTTGATGGTCCTGAACTTGTCAACTGCTTCCAATTTTGATAATTAATTTTTGTTAATTTTCCTGCACTTTTCGCTTTGGCAGTGTGGTTCTTGTTTTCATCCAAGTTAGTGAGCTCTATCTCTTCATCAGTCGTGAAGGCACTTGGTGTAATTGTAGATGTTGGGGGTAGGAATGATGGAGACTTTGTTGATTCTGTATTGGTAGTAGTCCTTGAGTTCTGTAAATATTGCAAATAATTTTATAAATAATTTGTCATATATTAATGTGCAACACTATACTAAGAGGAATTAGATTTAAAAGCTTTATATGTAATCAAACTACCATTTTAGTGTACTGATTGGACGAGGTTGCAAAGGCACTACTGCATGTGTATGTAAGTATTGCACTCTTCAAGATTTTGCTTGATAGTTTTTTCTTTGTGGTGTTTCATTTGCAGGCATATCCTCTACAATTTTTGCCTGTGGTTGACAGGGTTAGTTTAAGCCAAACTGAAGACAGTCTTGCAACCAGGTCTCTTCAGACTGTGCTCTGAGAAGATAGTCCTTGGACTTAGGGTTTCCTGTGACTTAGAATTTCCTGTTATTTGAAACCTGCTCTTTTGGGGTGTTAGCTTTAATGACTCCACCCCAGGATTAGGTCTACACCTGTTTAGGTTCAGTTCTAGTGTTGAGATTACCCACTTTGGTGGCATATACGGTATACTAAATTTTGTATCCTGCTTCCTTGGGATTTTAGCCTTCCTGCTTCACACAAAGACTTAGCTTACACATGCTTTAGTGTTCTAACACTGCAACTGAGTCTTGTGAATTGGTTTCTTCTTCAGACTGTGCTTTGTGATGGTCCTCACACCTACTTGTTGACTACTACTTGTTGGTTCTGGGGATCTACATCCTCACGGCCCGGTCTCAGACCAGGCGTTCTGGTTGGTGGTCTGGCCAGCCAGGCTGTTGGACGCAGCTGATCACAGTCTGACATGTGAGTCGCAGCCTGGTTGATCTGGTATCCTTTGGGGGTGCTAATCAAGTTCTCTCTTGAACACCATAAGAGGTCTGCCTGTTATGCTCCTAATGTGTAGAGGGAGAGCTGAAAAATCTTGGATCCTTCATGTTCATAGAGTTATCTCTCGGTATTCCTATTGTACCTCTGCTTTTCAATGGGGCTATTTTGCACATCCTGCCATGCCTCCTGGTTTCATGTAGAGTTATTTCTGTATGCAGATTTGGAACCAATCCCTCTAATATTTTCAGTGTAAATTATTATGTATATCGCCTGCACTCTAGAAATACAGGTTCAACATTTTTAAGCATAACAAAATTTAAATGTTTTGTTAAGTGGATTCAGGAATTAAAAGACCTCTGCATGCTCTTCAGGTCAGCAATTTCTCCAACTTTGAATAGGCCTGTTAGTGTGCACAAATATTCAACCCTAGAGAATACAAGTGTCTTTAAAAGTATCATCATTAATATGGCATTTCTTGCTTGGAAGGTTCTTGTTATTCAACCTGTCGCTTTATTTTTAGTTGTGACTGTTACTTTGTTCTTTAAATGTAAGGTCTTTTGACATGATTATTCCCAAATATTTTATATTGGTATTTCTTTGAATAGTGTGGTATGACTGCATTTTGCGTGGTTTCCTTTTTTATATTTTAGTTTTCCATAATGCATTAGCTGGAACTTATCCTCATTAAACATCAGAGTATTTTCTGTGGTACATTGCAAAACCTAATGTCAGATTGGAGATTTGCTGTACTTTATATTGTCAACTTTCATAAAAATCCTAGTGTCATCTGCAAAGGATGGTAGAGTACTGTACTATAGTTTGCATCCTTGTCTATGTCTGACGTGAGGATGAGAAAAAGTACCGTAGCAAGCACACAGTACCTTGGGTTGACTGTACCTTGCTTTTTACTGTGATTGATACGGATTTTACTTTGTTGACTATTACACTCTAGGTTCTGTTCATTAGGAAATTAAAGATCCATCTCCCTACTTTGCCAGTAATTTCTTTTATGCACATTTTTGTGTACAATAACACTATGGTCACATTTGTCTGAAACTTTTGTGAAATCTGTGCATATTACATCAGCATTTTGCTTGTCTTCCATGGCATCTAATTTCTAATTTTTAATTTCATGGCATAGTGGTTTAGTATTTGTGAGAGGCAACGGCACCCTGTTCTGAACCCATGTTGCCCAGGGTTATCTAGACTCCATGTGTTTGTGTGATTCTGTGTGTTGATAGTGATCCCATGTGTTGATTCCATGTGCTTTGTGATCTTGCTTTTTAGCTCTCAAAGATTTTTATGATATGTGATGTTAGAGCTATTGGTTTGTAATTTTTTGCATCTGCTTTACTACTGCCTTTGTGAAGTGGTGTACTCACTGCTGTTTTAAGTATGTCGGGGATAACACCAGTATCTAGGCCCTGTCTCCAAAAGTTGTTTAGGGCATGGGATAGTTTTTTTTTGGGGGTGGGGTGGGGGGGGCAATACTTGATGAATATAGATTTCCAGGAATCTGGTGCTGGTGTAGAATGAATGGGCATCCTGTCTATGGCTACTTAAGAAATCCAGTGGGTGTTAGAATCTCACCTGTAGTTTCATGTTACTTTGTGGCCTGCTCTCGAGGGGTATTCACTTTAGCGACTTACCCCAATATTGAGCCTTTACCTGTCTAGATTAGATTTTAGCATATAATACTCACTGCCAGAAGTAATACTGGCTCTGGTTCCTAGTAGACCAAACAGGATTTCTATGGCTGATGTGACTCAGTAGGAGGAAGCTATCCCAACAAGATATTTTCAGGAAGCTACCAAGGCTCCACCAGAAAGAGGTGCTTCATTATGTTGAATGCTGTTTTTTTCCATGCTGATGTCTAGAGACTGGAAATTTTATCCTATATGTGGTAAGGTGGGCAATTGTTTTGGGTGTCTGCAATGCTTGGAAAGGTTGGAGGTGTGCCCTGTTTTTCCTGTGCTTTTTTATATGGGAGCATCTGATTCTCTCGCTGACCTCTTGTTTGCTCAGTTGTTGTCCTATGAGGTGACTTTTTCATCATGCCTTTCGGCTTCTGCCTAGTCAGCTTGCACTCTCCTTGTGCCCGTGTTCGTTTCTTGACAGACTTTCCTCAGCATTTACAACCACTGCAGTTTTGTTGCCCTTGTCATGCATTGTTCCTCATGTGGACCTAGCCCTAGACTGGGTCTTGATTTTTGTTTCATGAGGATGTAATGTTCTGATTGCCTTTCCCCCAATCTTGTTGGGGCTGATTGCAGCAGTTCCATCTACCCTTTTTTGGTGGTTATGTTCTGAGGTCTCTTGGTTGGGAGTCAAGCTTATCTTGGCTTGACTTGTTGTCTAAATTATTTTTTCTACAGTACAGTACTTTCATTCTGTTATCTGTATGTTCTTGCAGCAAGAACCTTCAAAGATTCAACACATTCTTGTTTGTTATTCTTTTAGCATGTATGTACTACTGTATATGGAAATTACATGGACAAATCGGTTTATTTTAGCCTATGACAATTATTTCCAATGTACAAGTACCTTTTAAAAGTTTAATTTTTAATATTTATTTTGTGTAGATTTTGATACTCGTATATTTTGAAGCAGAAATATCTGGGGACCATATTACAAAAGGCTACACCTTAAAAAAAAATGTGAATAGCCGATACGTATGAATATAAAATTGTACAACCTATCCTCCTGTCAAGATGGTACCTATTGCGATCGTCAATAGTCCCAAATTCGTATGTACTTAGCATTTAGATAGTAGTATACTGACTAGTAAGGAATTCTTTTAAAATAAATGAAGCTAAAAAACTAAATTAAATATTCCTAGGCCTAGTATAGTACACATATGTACTATATTAGGCCTAGGAAGGTTAGGTTAGTTTAGTTTGTCAAAGCAACACGACTAAAAAAAAATTTATTTGGGTCATAACAGTTTGTCCAACTCAATGGTTCAGATTTTTACTTTCTAATTTTGCTGTACATTGGTATATATATACTATGGTCCTCATTGTTAATATAAGTACTGCACTGTCAAAACAGGAGGATGGGCTGAATTATACAGTATAGGCAGATTGGTAAATAGCTTATGTCTCAAAAGAATACTCATACAGTATTTTATTTATCAATGAATATTATATATCAAATTATCAGATTAAAACAGAAATATTTAAACTCATTTGGCTACAACCTACCTGATTTAAACTACCAGGGTCTGCCACTACATAGAAAGTAAGGAAGTTAATAGCATTAATGTCAATTTTATTCTCGCATTCTTCAGCAACATTATGGAAGACTCGATTACATGAAGATTGGCTGTCTTCAAGGAAGCTTAAAGATTCTAGGGTTTCACATTCGCTTCCAAACAGGGAATCTGGAATTCCTGAAAAACACAAGTCAATCATTAAATGTAATAAAATGCCTTTTTCTAGCACCCCCCCCACCATAGCTCCCAGAGATTTGTAGCAAGTAGATTATCCCAATAATATACTCGCTCCAAATGCATTGTTAATATTCCTGTCAACCTTTGGAGATGAATGAGGTGAGGCGTTGCCCGGGCAACACGGTGAGGAGTTGCCCGAGCATATAAGCAGCAGAATAGCAAACATTCACCAGAGTCTACTTTCAAGTGTGGTCTAGAGCAGACACTTGCGAGATACTGTACCAACGCTCAGTGCACTCAACTCACACCAACGTATCACCTGTGTACTTCTGTATATTCGACCAAATATATATATAGTATCTTAGTGTCTTGTGTTTATTTGTCACCATACTTTACATAACAATAGAACCGTTACAGATTAATACTGATTCTACCAAATAGGTGGTTTTCAGCGTGGGCTTTATGACCCACTGATGTTCTCTTCAGTGTGTGTGTGTTCCAAGCAGCACTAAAAACACCAAGTCCAATCTTTGAAAATCATAGAAACTATGGAGCTTGGTCCTCAGTTATACTATTGCACAAATTCTGGGAAACTAAAGAGTGAATCCCAAAAGAAAGGGTAAAAGGGACAGTGGTGCATCTTAACTCAGTTCACCACCAAGAGACCAGCTTGCTATGACCCACCTGAGAGAGCAACATCCCTTTGCGAGTGCTAATTAGAAATGAGGAATATTAATTAGCACTCCTAACAACCCATTACAGACTACAGACTCCTACAACCACCAGATGGCAGCACCCTTCATGAACATGTTTTCAAATTCTACACTATTTAAATTCTCTCTATCCGTCTACTAATTTAACCGACTGGTTTTGTGTGTGTGTGCACATGCATTGTGTTTATATACAGTATACGTTTTGTATTTTTTTTGTATTTCTCTTGAATAATCTCTTACCAATGTTGAAAAGGAATCCTTCCTTATTTACTGCCCACACAGCTGAACCAGCAGAGTATGAAACCTCATCAAACTGCAGAGTTTGATAAGAGCTTTCCCAGGGATAATGCCATATACCCCTTTCCAGCTGCTGATATTCTTCTACAGAAGTTGCCCCCTAAAAAATATGAAAGACATTACTCTTCCCCACATAGTTCATTATATTACATAATGTACTCTAGTTACTGAACTTGTAAAATTTTAAACAGATACTTCAATCCCTTTCTGTAAAACTTGCTAGGTAAATACAATTTCTCTGAATCAGGTCAGTGATATCATGTGTACAGTATTATAAAAACTTAACATGTATTAACTGCTCTCTACCAACCTTTACAGTAACATAAGTTGTGCGTTGTGGTAGATTGTCAGTTATAATACAAAAGAGACCATTCTGCAAGTGCTCTACTTTGTACTCTGTGTGATTGCTGAAAACAGTGTGTCTCTGGAAGCAGTAACGGGTATCTGTAAAGACAACATGAAATATGTTAGGTTAAATCAGCCCTCAATAAACTATTAAACAATAAAAGCACATGCTTATGGCACCCTGGTGCCCTAACTTCTCCAAACCACAAGAGGTAAAGACTTTTTACTTGGATTTTCATGCTTCCTGTATGCTAATTAACAATGTAAAATAAAAAAAAAATCACCCCCCCCCCTTTTTTTCTTTTTGCTCACCTCGGGAGTGTCAGCTACAGAATTAAACAGGTGCACAGCCCAGGGATTAATCCTCATCTGCCTCCCTGTTTTACACCTTTGTTCTAGGGAATTTCTCTCTTTGATCCTTTCAACTGCTGCTACTGCCTTCCAGGCCCTCAATTGGGTCCTACTGCAGAAAGATTATAATTCCTGTACTGTTTCACTTCCTCCCATTGTGGCTCCTTCTGGCCATTGTTGTTTTCGTAAGTTGTGAAAGGATGCCTCTGCTCAGGGTTTTTTTTTACACTGGCCCATTTGCATTTTGACCCTTTGATGGCATTGTGGGCTGTCCTGTTTTGCCAGTTCTTGGTCCCACTGTTTGTAGGCTTTTGGGTTATTTCCCAGGTTTTCCAGTGGAGTTGATCCATCTGTCGCCTCCTTTTGGATTCAGCGGTGCTGGGTTAGGAGTCCTCCTCTCAGCTCTGCACAATCATTGCAACGTTGTTGGGCTTGGGCATGGTTGAGTTCACATCCTCTTTTTTTTTTTTACCGTGGGTGTCCCGGTTGTTCCTGTTCCTCAAACAGGACCGGGCAGACCTACGGTGCATTCTCAAGCTCTCGGAATGAACACCTTCATTCCCTGTTTGACCTTCCTCATGATGTGGAGCTATCTAGGTGAGTCACTGAGGCAATACCAAAATCTGGCATTTCATTACATTTAACAAGATTTTTTTTTTTAAATTTGCTTAGTTTTGAGTACCAGGTAGACCACTGATCACCAAGCTTCTCTTGCTTCATTGAGAGCCAGATTCTGATTCTTGCAGGTAAGCAAAGGGGAGCTACCGAGGTGCCTACACGGAGGTGCATTTCATTACACAGACTGCATCTTTTATATCCTCGAGTGTTTTATACAGCCTAAAAGGAGGAAAGGGCATTAACTCTACATTAAAAATGTATAAGGCTGTCACACAAGTATAATAGATATTTGTTCTAAAATCCTACTCACCCAAAACATTCTGAGGTCGCACGTGGCAGTGGGAGAATACTTTTCGGTCATCAGCATTGCAATCTTCATCACAACAACAGTTGATATCACAGAAATGAACCTTAAGAAAATTTGAAATTACTTCCTTAAAAACTGTAGGTGCATGAAGAGTATTCTGTATCGCAACATTAGAACTAACAGATTATTAAAATACAATTGTCTTCAATCAAGATTGTACATAAATATTATAGAGGACACACTATTTTATATTTGTAATAACTTACCTTAAGGTCACACAGGCAAAAATCATTAATGACAAGATCACTTTCATACAGTGGACTTGGAGTGGTTGGAACCTCATTTGTAGACCAAGCAGTAGTCTCATTTGGCATCTCAGCTAATGTGTTATTATCATTGAATTCATAATCAATATCACTTTCATTTAGTGTAATATTACTAGGTGTTATCAGAGTCACATTAATTCCTGTGTTAAATTGATCTTCCTTGATTGGATTAGTGATATCAACTTGAACAGCATTTTCAGGTAAAAATAATTCTTTATCATTTTGGGAAGGTAAGCTTTCATTGGATGGATTATGAATTTCTGTAATATCTTCTTTGTCTCTATCAGTATTTTCTACATTAAGATTGTCATTCTCACCATGAAAGGGTTTAATATATAAGACACTGAATATCAATCCCAAATATAGGCATCTGGATAACATATTTGCTATTAAACTTGACAAGAATTATATATACAGTGTGTACTGAAAGTTTTCTGTACAGTATCAAACACTTTCACTCATTATTTTATTAACAAATTACGCCATACTTTTCAAAGTTTCTGAGGATGATGCCCAACTCAAAATGCACCTGGAAAAACAATATGAATATAAATTACAGTATCTGCATATACACATAGTTAAAGTTGTAAAATTTAACATAAAAATTTTTTTCACCCTGAACATATGGAGTAATTAGCTTGGAACCTTAACAGAAAGGTACTTCTTTCTAACCTAGTCCAATTAACCTCAAGGTGCATTAATTTGACCAGAAATTTGACAAAATTACACATTTGAAACATAGTAAACATGCAGCTCATAGAAAAACCAGTAATGAACTTAATGCCTCTCAGCTCATGAAAAAAACAGTAATGCCCCTTTCTGGTGGGACCATGGTGGCTCCTTGGTGCTTGCTGCCTGGCATGTTCCACTCAATTCAATCCACACCAGGCCTTAACAAGCCATATATAATTTGACAAAATTACACATTTGAAACATAGTAAACATGCAGCTCATGGAAAAACCAGTAATGAACTTAATGCCTCTCAGCTCATGAAAAAAACAGTAATGCCCCTTTCTGGTGGGACCATGGTGGCTCCTTGGTGCTTGCTGCCTGGCATGTTCCACTCAATTCAATCCACACCAGGCCTTAACAAGCCATATATAAGCCTACCAAGGACCAGGCCAAAACCTGGCCACTCTCTAAAGACAGACTCCCCAACATCTAAGGAGAAGTTGAGGACCACCACCACTGTAGACTCAGGGACACTACCCAAAAGCTCATACTTTGTGGAACCAAGAGTTGGCAAATAGGCCAGATGTCCTCCCTACAGTGCCACCAAAGGGGCAAACCATGAAAGGCCAGAACGAAGATCCCCAAACAGATGCATTCCTCTGCAATGAACGAGAACAATGCCAACCGAACGGAGTAAGTTCAAAGCCTGGGAATCCAACTCCTCTGGAGGCCTACTCTAACCAACAACAGGTATGGAACTGCCCTGAAACTTCACTCCTTGGACAGCTGAACAAAAGATTGAACAGTGCAGGCAAGACAAACTCTGCACAGGCAGCACCACCCAAGACACCTTCCACATTAACTGAACACCCTTCATCAAAGAAAATGAACTACCAAACAGGTTGAAAAAGCCCCAGTTTTGAATTGGGATCCCATTCTTTCAGCCCTGGACACCCGAGGAATGGGGAGCACCAGAGCAGAGATCCATGCCAGACATAGAGGACAGAATTACATCTCCACATTAGGGAAAGATCTGCAACCATAAAACCTCCTTGAGAAATGGAAGGCAGTGTATCCTCAATGGGAAGCAGCAGCTCAACTACCTTCAAAGTGGCAGTCCTTAGAGGTCTAAACACACCTATGGTGTGACCCTCAGGTGTTTCAGAACTGGTAGCAAAGGGCAAGGCTCTCACACCTGCCAAACAACACTGGCTGAATACAGAGATGGAGGATTAAATTTGTAGCTAGTAGAAACCACCACCTGCTCTAAGCTAGGTCTTGAAAGGTCAAAGGGGCTGGCCCCTGTGGTAGCAACATTAACATGAAGCTACAACCTACATATATGGAGAAATCTGGCCTGTAAAGCAGCATCCGCCTGATAAGCCAAGTCCTTACACCGAGGCTTGGCTAGAACAGAGACCCAATGATCACAAGGTAAGGAATGGACCCAGTCAGGTATATTATAACTGGTGAATAGTGAGCTAGCATTTCATGAGTATATGGTACTGTACTATTTTTCAAAATCGTGCTAAAGAGCACATAGCCATCTAGCTTATCTGCATATACATACCAATAGATTGTATCATCATAAGATTAGAAGTAAAGAGGTGTAAGCACTAGAGATTTTGTTGTTGGTCTTAATAGCTAAGACATATAAGGAAAGCACTCTTTCTTACTACTGGACTGTATATATAGAAGTAGAACATTAAAAGCATCCTGATGGGACAACGATTAATGTTTATGGTGAGAATTCCAACTGCTCCACTGGGGTCACTGTACTTTGTCACACAAAAACAAAATATATATATATCGGAAACATAAAATCCAAGAATTGGTGGAAAATGACAACATATCAATGACATGTACCTTGGATGGAGATCTTGTCCTTCTCAGTACATATAAAAACATTAGATGTAGTGAAATGCCTCTTTCTGACAGAGCCACAGTGGCTCCTGAGGCTTTGTGAGGGCAAGGTGTAACCGAAGTGCCATTATCTGTCGGCAATTATCTGTGTTTGGTTGCTGAACACAGTGGACAAATGGGCAGAGACTTTGTAAGCAGTCTTGTTTTATCTCGAGGGGGAGAACTCTTACGTGACTTGAGTTATATGGAACATGCACATACTGTTGGTTATTCATGGCTGGATTGTGGAGCTGATGCTGAGAATATTACCAGTTAGACTTTCATGATCATCACCCAGAGGACATGGCAGACCTTAACTTAAAGGGTAACCAAATGTGAATAGTTCTGAAAGTTCCTTGCACAACACATTAAATATAAATATTTTCTTTTCGGAAAATATCAGCAAATATAAATATTTGAAAATTTTAATAATACTTACAGAGCCCGATGCCACTGTGAGTAACCTACAGCGTTCAAGTGCAGAATGTATAAATTCTGTAGACAATAACTGCGGGCCACCTCCTAAAAATGCTCTTCTCAATTCCTCTGCAAATGTTCCTGACCAAAAAAAAAAAAAAAAATAAATAATTATTCATTAAACAAAGTATAGGCAACTTCTGATCCTATAGTCATACCCACCATGGTCTGAGCCTATTTCATAAATATAGAGACCTATGCTATTAAAGAAAATAAATGAAAAAATTTCGAACAAAATTAAAACTGCTGAATTTTAACTATGCTCACTGACTTGTATACAGCTCTAACTCTCTTTAGCATTGCATTCATCTACAAAATCCATTAAAATATGATTAGAACAATATTAAAGGATATAACATTCATATCTTCTAATGATACTGCATGGATGAATTTTACTGAACAAAATCTTAAATTTCATTTCTGCATTTGGTGAATATTCACCAGGATATGAAACCAATATTGTATAGTTTGTTTGCTCACATCCCTCATTATCCTGCACAAGACACTTCTTGAGTTAGACCTGTTTCAAGAATAGCTTCAAGACTTGATTATCACACACTGCTTTGGAACTAGGGTATAGTATTTTAATGTGTGTAAAGTCGCTGGTGTTCAGACACTTGGAAAAAAAATACAGTACTGATATTCTTGGATAACATAACGACTTGGCGCCTTCTTTTGATAATTACTTACTACTTACGTACTTGGATAACATAAGGAAATTAACCAAGATAATAGGATTTAGGAGCTTAAAAATGATAGTCATTTAAATTTTTATGTAAAAAAATTCAGCCATATAAACAATAATATTACTTCTCTCAATATAAATAAATATACAGATAAATAAAAATAATTACATTAGCTTTATTTTAAAAATTATGGTAACAATTGAAAGGCTGTTGATTATTAAAAGCACAAATGTATGCTATAAACGCAATGCAGTACTAAAGCAGATAAAAAAATGGTATTCAGAGATTCATCATAAAATAGTCTGAGACACCCTAGTATTGGTTTCCAGACAGGGAGAGAGAGACCACCCATTTGTAAGGAAAGTTTGCCAGTATAATCAGATACATTATAGACTATATTATAACATCGTTTGTTTCCATACTATTAGACAAAAGTCCTAGAATAATAGACCTGGTTTCCAGATATTCAGCACTGCTGGTGTACTTGCAGGTGATGGAGATATGTGCCAGATATTCACTGTTCATTCATCCCATCGGGTGCTTTCACCAGGTGGTTGTGGGAGTTAAGTAGTTTTGTAATAATAGTGAGTAAGGGGCAATTGGCATTGCTTGAAGAGCATCTGTAATTAGTACTTGCAGTAGACAATGAGAGTAATGCTGACTTTCTTGGTGTATAACAAGCTGTAGTCTCAATGGTGGCTTGGATTGGAAATAACAGTTTCCTTAACTCCATTTTTGCCCTTACAAACCCTTTGCAAAGATACTTGTCAAGCTGAGGGGCACGGTCACGAAAGTGAGCATAGACAAACAAGCCCTGGTGGTACCTTAATGGCTTTAGCTTATGGAGCATCCAAGAGACAGTCTCAAGAATAAGTCATAGAATGAGTTTAAAAATGTTTCTCAATTAAAAAATTATCAATGATAAAATCTGAGAATTTGACTGTTGGTAAAAATGACTCGCATGCAAACTCATTTAACATACTGTTGGTCATATAAAAATGATTAATAGTCTCAATTTTTAACTGAAGTCAAATTTAAAACCTACAATTATGAATCAAGAGTCTTCTGTATATATTGTATATAATTTATGTACAGTACTGTATATATGTTTTATATCATCAATAATTTTGATCAAGAACTGACATAATTACCAACTGGTCTCCATGTATGACAAGTCAGAGTATGGTGACCTGCTTTTGTCGGTACATGAATGATACCATACCCGCATAGATCAATGCGGCCTAGATCATCTTGTCTGTATACCTGCACCATCAGTCTGGGCCATCCTGAAAAGTAACAAAACATATGTTGTAAGTTAGCCAAAATAATGCTTCACATAATTTTTCACAAATTATATTATATCTTACTAAATAATAAATATTAACACCTAAATAACTTAGAGATGGCACTTTCCGGTCAAAAGAAACAAACCTCAAAAGAGAAAATGTACAATGAAAGCCTTTCAGTGCAGTACTGTATATTATACATTGACAACTTTGATAGTTCTACTCCCATAACCTGGCCTGGTTAATGGCTGGTCTGTGAAACTGTTTGTCTTCATTGCTCACAAACACATGGTCTCTATACTGTACTGAAAAGCAAAATACAAATATTTAAACAAATATATGAGTCTCTTTGTTGATTGTGAAATGCATAAGTTAACACAAGCATAATAACAATAAAATCAATATGATTAATCACAGGCACTTGCCTTGTATTCCACGAGTAGTTAGGTGTATGTCAACAGGATGGCACCAGCTGACAGCATCACTTACTTCTGACTGATCTGCCTGAGTTTGTCCTTCCACTAGGCCTTCTACCACTCTCCAACCTCCACCTGGAATTTTTTTTAAATGAATCAACATATTGTATAAATATCTTTATTATTAAGTCCATTCTCTGGGTATTTAAAATAATATAGTGTTAAAACATTTGAATGATCATCGAAAACATTTGTACTGAGGTCCCCCAAGATCAAACTACTGACCCTCTCCAGGATGCAGCCCCATAATAGTTGTCTAACTCCTGAGCACATATTTACTGCTCAGTAAACAGTGGCAGTAGGTGAAAGGAAATATGCCAAACCATTGCTGTCCTGCCCAGGAATCGAACCCAGGATCTTCAATTGTGAGTCGAGAGAGAAGTAAACTGTACTACGAGACCCCAGCAGAAGCTAACCGATCCATGCAGCATGAGCCAAGTGAATGAAGCTGGCTGGCAAGGAAAACTAGCTACAGTTGCTCACCTGTTGCAAGGAATTGTTTGCTTTATTTTAATGTTTTTAATTTCTTGTAACAGACAGCAGTTATCATCTTATGATGATTGCTGGGATATTGTGGTAATCATCATAGGATGATTTAAAGATTTGTTGTCTGGGTTCTGGGTTTTACACTTATGATGCAAATAAGGATATAATAGTTCTATGTGGATGTAATGGAGTTTACCCTGACCCTTGAAAACAATCCTGATACCATTTCATGGTTACGAATGTGGTGATGGTTATGAATGTTATTCGGGGAATGCGGTCATCACCATATGATTACTTAAACAATTATTGCCTTGGTATTACATATATGATGCAAATATGAATATAATAGCTCTATAGATGTAAATAAAGAAAAACAAGTGATAAAACAATCGGTGAAACATCCGAGGATAAGACAGGAAGCATCAGCAAAGTCAAGCATAGGGTGTTCACAGGTGCCAGATGCAGCCTTGTAGAGTGCCTCCACCCGGTGGAAATGATATATATACTCATATTTTCATATTTTTCTTACATTTTGCTTACAAATTAATAATTATAATTTTTTTTTTTTTTTTTTTGCGGATAGGCGATTTGACCATTTTTTCATAGCCGCTGTCCAAGAGTTAAACCATTGGTTTTTATTTTTTCATCAGACATTCTGGTTGGCTTTCCTCAGTTTTGGATAAATTTTCTGATCCCCAAGCTCAACCTTACCATCTCCTGGCTCCTGGTAGGCCAAAGTGGTTCTCAAAGGTTTGGTGCACTTCTTAAGGCACCGGTATCTACCAGCATGTAAGCTAAAGGAAGATACTGAAATAAAAGACATTTACCTAACTGAAGAATCCACTTGCAAAAGAGCGAAGCCTTTGGGAATCCACTTGCTCCAGTAATCTGGCCTATGATGTGTACCTCGGCCATAAGGCTTTCTTCATGCTATGGGAAAAATAAATTTATATGAAAGATGCATAACAAATAAGTGTGCATTAAATCAAATGTAGTTTTACTCTGAAAGAAAACCAGCATTGAATGTAATGAAATGCCTATTTCTGAGCAAACCTCTGTGGCTCCCAGAAGCTACTATACCTGATATAATGCCACACAACAAAGTGTCATCAATGTTATCATGTCATTTGATCTACTAGGAACCATGAGCCAGAACCTGGGCCCCTGTGAAGGGAGCAGTGGCACGTATGAAATATTTTATGTAAATTTATTCATGTCAGTCACCACCAAGGAAAGGCACCCAAAAAGCCAGCAAAACAAAACCGACCACTGCTTGGTTAGAAACGAGACCACAGCCTCAACAAAAAACTACCCCAACAATGTAAATAAATGATGTGAGCTAGTGTGAGCTAGTTCATATCACCTCACCCCCCTCATTTGGGGTGAAGGACGGGGCCAGCCACCAAGAACCCAGAAGGATCACCCTCCCCTTGTAGTACTTCTGTCATGCCAGAACCCAGAGCAACAGCCAGACTAGGGTATATGAAGGTACAGTGTATGAGGTATATGAACCTCATATAGGTTTATAAAGTTCAAAATCTCATATACCTCATAAAGAGGTATATAACCTCATGTACCTCAAAAAGAAGTATATGACCTCATGTACTACATAAAGAAGTATATGAACTGCCATCTTAACCAGTCCAGCTGAAAGGCATCTACCATTAGGGCCTCGCAGGCAGGTAATGATGACATCAAGAGGTTGATGTCCGGATGCCCGAACATCCAGCAAAGTCACAGGAAGGAGGCAGCATCGACGATCCACTCAGTGGACCGTCGATTGAACAATTGTTCCCATTGTTTGATTCTGTAATTCCTTGTTTGTATAATATTTTACCTTTTAAGGAAATGGTCTGGATTAATATCCTGGGAACATTCATCACATAGGTTCGAATCCTCATCAATTCCCTTGTGAATTTGTTCCTTCAGCTTGTTCTGCACTTTACAGGTCTCAATGAGACTTGCCATGTCATGTCTGGTTTGCAGTGTTGTTAGTCCTGTGGCCCTTAACTATTCTTGGTATGAGAGTTGACTTAACTCCAGAATGATTTTTGCAGCTCTGCACTGAACTTCCTACAAAGCAGATATGTCCTGAAGGTCAGGTCTCCATGCTTGGATACAGTAGTCCAGATATGGGCACACTAGAGACATGTACAGTAGAATAATCTCTTACTTTTTCTTGAAGTCAAAGGTTTATCAGATAATCCCAAAGGTTAGTTTTTTGTGATGCTCCACTTATTGTGATTTTTTAATGACTGGTGGATTCTAAATCCTAGGTCCTTAGGTAAACAGTTAAATGTAAAGATTGTCCAGTTACTCCTGAGAATGCACTGCACTGTCTCAGAGATCCGCCAACCTCCAACAATGTGCAACATTTTGTTTACATGTACTCTTTGTGTTGGAAAGACAAGGGGCTACTTTGGTGTGCAGGCCGCCCTCTGGCCAGTTCTGTCGTTCCAGTTCAAAGCACACTATACATATCCAGTATAGTGACATAGACTGTTCTTCACTTAATCTTAAATGGTAAAAACCCATGGAAAACAAATCCACTGGAAAATACATTTCCATCTTTAAGTAGTTCTAGTTTGGATATTATACAATAAAAACGAAATATTATTCCCTATTTTCATTGCATTTTTCTTGATATAATCAACTATATACAAAAAAAAATATATATACATATATATATATATATATACTACCGAAGGATGACATAGGTAAACAACGCTGAAACGATGGGTCTTCCCTGTTTACAAACAAACAATCTCGTCACCCAATCCAAAATCAATATTTGTTGCTTGGTAAATAAGTAAACAAAAAATCAAGTAATATTGTTATTTTAGATATTGGTTTGATATTAAACTAGCAAATATAAAAATACGCAAATATAATAGTGTAATCAATAAGTTCATTTTGAATAGGCCCATTCGAGGCAGCTCTTATTTATATCTGGTTAGTTTAGTTCATTTATTATGCACCCCATACCCATCGTGTGGGCGATAGTGGAAAGGGTTACAGAGGCACATAATGGGCTCAGGGACTGAACCCCACAATTCATTTAGCTAAGCAAGTTACAATCTTGATGAGCTAGTTACAAAATTACATCGTCACATCAACAATGGGCTCGAGACCGAGTATAGTTTCTAAATTAAGAAACTGATATGTGTGGAGAGCGAGTGTCACAATTGATATTTGTGACTACGGTCCTACACTGTACGCCCCAACTAGCTGAAGATAGCTGAAGAATCACCTGAAGTTGGGGGATATGATGTAGGATCACTTTTTCCCTTCCACCTGAATGATTGTGGGTCATACGTAAAAACTTAGACTGGCTTCAATAGGGGGCCTCCAGATTTCCTGTGATTTCAGTAGAAATTCAGTTGTATGACTTGCCAATCCTCGGTGGTCTATGGTAGTGTATGCGGCTGGCAATGCCTTGGTCGCAGGTTCGGGTCACCTCACAGAGGACTTTCTCAATAATAATGATAATAATAATAATGAGAAAATCCGTAGGAGCTGTGATGAGGCTTCGAACCTGTCTGCTACGCATTCCCAGGCACACGCCCCAGACAACTAGGCCATGAAATTGTCAAAAGGACTGCAACCTTGGGTTATACTGAACACCTGAGGATTCCTGAGGCTTCCACTGAAGCTAAACCAGGGTTTCACACCTGGTTTGTTCCCCCCCCCATGCACTCTTGCTCTGTCGTCTAGGAATATTCAACTCATGACACTCCTCTTTCAATACACAGAGAGAAACCCTGGTTCAGCTTCAGTGGAAGCCTCAGGAACACTCGTGGGTTCAGTAGAACACCATGTTGCGATTCTTTTGACCATGTCTAGGCCTTGTTGTGTGGGGCGTGTGCCTGGGAACACCCAGCGCATGGGTTTGAATCCTCTTCACGGCTCCTATGGATTTTCATATTGATACATCACATTAGTGTGATTTCTCCGATTAGTAATAATAATAATATTAATTTTATTAATATTTAACTATTTATTATTATGATTTAATTATTTAATAATAATACTTATATAATAATTAAATAATTGAATAATCATTAAATAATTGAATAATAATTAAATAATTGAATAATAATAAAATAATAATTAAATAATAATAATTAAATAATAATAATTAAATAATAATTAAATAATAATAATAAAATATTAATTAAATAATAATAATAAAATAATAATTAAATAATAATAATAAAATAATAATTAAATAATAATAATAAAATAATAATTAAATAATAATAATAAAATAATTAAATAATAATAATAAAATATTAATTAAATAATAATAATTAAATAATAATAATTAAATAATAATAATTAAATAATAATAATAAAATAATAATTAAATAATAATAATAAAATAATAATTAAATAATAATAATAAAATAATAATTAAATAATAATAATAAAATAATAATTAAATAATAATAAAATAATAATTAAATAATAATAATAAAATAATAATTAAATAAAAATTAAATGGTTAAATACTAATAAATAATAATAATAATAATAATAATAATAATAATAATAATAATAATAATAATAATAATAATATATATTATTATTATTATTATTATTATTATTATTATTATAAATAATAATAATATTATTTAATTAACATTTAATTATTATGATTATTTAATCAATATGATTATTTTATTATTATGATTATTTAATTATTATAATGATTTAATTTTTATTACAATTTAATTAATACTAGTTAATTGTTAATAATAATAATAATAATTAATTTTAATAATAATAATAATAATAATAATAATAATAATAATAATAATAATAATAATAATAATAATAATAATAATAATAATAATACATCTGAGATCCAGATATGTCATTGACGAACGGACGTCTAGCTAGCAACAGCGGTAAATTTAAATGAGTGTATTTTTAACAGTGTACACTGTAAATATATGAAATCTATTCCCTAAATGATAAATTTATTTGGAAGATAATGATATAATTGTAGAGCTTTACTGCTATGGTAGAATAGTCTGATATAATAACTAGATTTATATATGGGAGAGGAATTAAGCGATTAATTGCACAGGTTCCTAAATAAATATTTGTTACATTTTTTGTATTATTACATAGCATTCGGCGTTTGAGACAATAGACCATAAGAAATATTCAACAATCATTTGTAAACAAAATTTCGTACGTTATTGATTATGATTGGCACAAGCGCAGTCGTTGGCGTATGTTTACTGTTTCATACAGAAGAACAGTTATCATATTTACTTCTTTGGTTGAGAATATTTACGCTAGATATAGGTTTAGGAAGACAGATCATACATATATTATCAGAGGAAGCTAATTACAAAAATTCGGCTGCAAATGACAAGTGACTATAGACTTGAAATCCTCAAGTGCCTCAGAAATCCGTTTAAAAAAAAGAGCATCGCAATAATTTACAAAATCTATATAAAATCATAAACGTTTGCCGAGAAAAGGATGAAATAAATATTTTCAATGTAGTTTTGTAGCTTATGAAAGTGAATGTAAATAATGCAGCCTTTACTTGACGGATCAGTGTAATACCTGAAAATACAGTGTGGACTCCTCGTGGGAAATTTCTCATAAAACCAATTAATGTAAGCGAGCATTTAGTTATTATAAGGTGTAATATGGTACAAAAATCCGCATGAATTTTGTGATGATGAAGTGTTGGTGTTGAGGTGTGTCGAGCAGCCAGGGAAGCTCATAACCTGATAGTGTTGGGCACCAGGTGTGTCGAGCAGCCAGGGGAGCCCATAACCTGGCAGTGTTGGACACCAGGTGTGTCGAGCAGCCAGGGGAGCCCATAACCTGGTAGTGTTGGGCACCAGGTGTGTCGAGCAGCCAGGGGAGCCCATAACCTGGCAGTGTTGGACACCAGGTGTGTCGAGCAGCCAGGGGAGCCCATAACCTGGTAGTGTTGGGCACCAGGTGTGTCGAGCAGCCAGGGGAGCCCATAACCTGGCAGTGTTGGACACCAGGTGTGTCGAGCAGCCAGGGGAGCCCATAACCTGGTAATGTTGGGCACCAGGTGTGTCGAGCAGCCAGGGGAGCCCATAACCTGGCAGTGTTGGGTACCAGGTGCCACTCTCGCTTACTTCACCAAGGTTATTTTGACAGTAATATATAACTACATGCAAGAGATGAGCGAGTGTTCTTAGTTCTTTCTTTCGTACAGAGTTTGGACTACACTCACGTGTGTGCAACAAGCACCAAAGATATGGGAGAACCAAAAGGCATTTATTTATCTTGTGTATTGCATGAGCTTTCATGAAGTGAAATACCTTTATATATAATTTTTGTTTATGGCTAGTAGTTGTATTTATTTTGGTAAATTTGATCACATAATTCAAGATGTGAGAATATGCATGTATTTAAGTGATGTAATTCCTGTACTAAGGAGGAAAAGATGAACAGGATTTGATTACTGTATTATTGTGCAAGCATCTTTGAAAGTGGACCCTATCACAGAATGTGCTGCACTTGATAACAAACCTGTAACTAACGTTAGAGCTGTGACTGCAATATATATTAGATAGAAGCCCATGGCATTCTGTGGACTTTAGTTTTGAATGAAAATACAATACAATACAATACAATTTTATTTAGGTAAGGTACATACATACAATAAATTTTTACAAGGATTGGTTGACTTATAGGTAGAGCTAGTACATACAATGCCTAAAGCCACTATTACGCAAAGCGTTTCGGGCATGATAAACTTAAATGACAAGCTTAATACTAATTGAGCATAATGAGTAGAATGAAAACAAGAAATGAAAACATAGATGAAAAAGCAGCACAAATACAATTATGTCGACAAACAGCGCTCTTTATAAGTAAAATGTATTACTTCATTACTTCTACAGCTGGGGTTCCATTATCTTGTGTCCATATACTGCAACACCAAATGGGCATTCATCCAAATAGTGGAATACATCATGAGCTTGTATCCAACATGCCACAATCATTGGGTCAAGTAATATGTTCCTTATTTACATACTTTTTTTTTTAATTTAGCTAACCTGTGAGCAAGTACAGTGCTTGGCTTTCTCTGATACAGCTTACTCTCCAACAGTGCACATAACAATTCCATTTCAAGCTCCTATTAACACAATATTTTGTTAGCAGTAGCTTACACTGATTAATTTAGTTTAGTTTATGATTTAATTCTAACAATTATTTGTTTGTTAACTCTTGTCATTAATAATTTAAATTCTAAAACTGTAAACTAACCAACTTAAGTCAAATGAAAACGGTGTGACTGACTTGGGTATTGTGGTACTGTACTTAATAAATATATAGATAGTCTGAATAACTCGGGTGTTGTAATGCAATATTATAATTTATAAGTAATATGACTGACTTATATATTTATGTAAAAGCCACAAACTCTATTGGTCTTGACAGGGAGAGGAACTTTCCTATTATTCCCAATGAGTTTTTAGGCTTCCCTTGGAGCTGTAACACTATGTTGGTATTTATGACTTCAGTGGATAACAGAATCCATGGGTTTATTACCCTGTTGGTGGAAAAG